AATCCTGAGAAAAAAGAACAAAGCTGGAGGTATCACACTCCCTGATTTCAAAATATACTACAAAGCTATAGTAACCAAGACAATAATCTTGTCATATAAACAAGCAATTCATTTCAACTGTTTCTTTAGTAAATGTTTGAATTTATTATTACAAAATTATGTTCCATGATTAAACTACCATATTCATTTACAGTAATTTTAGAGGCAAAGACTAGCAAAGAATTACACTGATTCTTGAATGAAAACACTCATCGATATTAGTAATCTCCCCTCTCCCTTTTAATCACAGAAGTCGGGGGCTAATTATCGACTCTTTATAACACTGACCTTGGGGTTGATTACAAAGTAGGTTTTCACCAGGTGCTGTTTTAAATATGGGTCCCTGATGTCACCATCTCCTTCCTCCACTTTATAGGCTCCATTCAAGTGTTCCAGGGTGACCGAAGAAATGTGAACACGTCTGAAATTCCATTTTAAAACCGCAATCAAGATATAGAAGGATAAACATGAGGAAGATTTTCCACTTATTTGTTATTTCAGAAATAATTTCTTCTTCCCCCAATGAAGGAAAGACTATATGTTCTTGGTAAAATTGACTGGGATTAAGGTTTATATTCTATTAACCACTGCTTTGGAAAGACGCTTCTAGAGGTCATGAGTTACCAGTATTTGGAGCTTCTCTGCACGTACAGAAACTGCATGGTGGGCGTGGTGAATCACAGCTAATAAAACTTGATCATATCAAATTTTTGTGTGAGGATATTTTTGAAATGCATGCCAAAGAGATTTTTAGGAAGTGTGTTAATCTGTAAAAAAGTATGGATTTTCTTTCTCAATGCCTGCTCTCATGCTTCCCCAAATTATAGCACTTGCATCAAAATTGTCATGTCTGAAATATGCTCTTCTAACCAGAGGTGGATGCTACAGTTTTCTCATTTTAATAGTACTGGTTTCAGAGGTCACCAGTAATAGAGAAATGCCATTTCTGCACTGCATTAGAAAACATCTTTGACTTAGGTCTCTACTCATAAAATTGCAAATAAGTTAAAGTCTATAATTTAGTATCTGATATCCACAGTCTTTGACCATGTGTCATGGGGGTGGGGAAATTGGGACTAGAGAGCGCATGTGTATCTGATTAATGTAAGAGACCATTGGGCATGAGTAGCACGATACTAAGAGAGGTAATAGAAATCACTGAACACTGAGCAGTCAGTTACTAACCCACTAACCTACCATTCCTAACCATGTAACCAGCCTGAAGAGAGAAATCCAGTGTCTAGCCTTACCCAGGGACACCTCCAGCTTCCATGTGGTTGGCCAAGGTAACGTCATGTGACCACACATCATACTGCCACTTCTGCAGACCAATTACACCGCAGAGGACATTCCCAGAATGCACTCCAACTCGCATGTTGATATCAACTCCAGTGGCATCCCTTACTTTCCTAAAGAGAAGGAAAGTAACATCACCATCCAGGAACATCCTCTTCTTCCTCTAACTCCTGGCCAATTTTCCTCGCATTTTATTATTCAGAATTTCTCAGATTGTTGGAAATATTGTCATGAATTCCTCCTGTGGCAGAAAATTGCTCCTCTGAGCCAAGAGAAAGGACTTTTTTTTCTGGAAAATTCCAGACGAGACCAAAGGCTCCAATAGTCTGGCTAGGAAAGCCACAGCAGGCCAGACCATGGCGATGATGCAGCATTTTGGCTGTAGCTTCCACTTTTTCAACCAATATGTATCAAGTACCTATCATGTGCTGACACCTGCTCTGAAGTTTCATACTAGAATCATGTGACATTGCTTTGTACTGTCAGAAATGGTCTTAGACACCATTTGCAATTGCAGTGCTTAGCACAATATATGTCCCCAATGAATATTTTTTGCTGATAAGAGACAATACAGCTTATTTGTGAGTTTAATAGTGACTTTAGCTTGAATAGAAATTAAAAAAAAAAGAGATTAAAACTTTTCAATTATGCACATTCTTTAACAAAAAGAGAAAAATAATACTCTTTAGAAAGCTTTAATAAAGCATAAGGTATCATTAAAAAGAAACTAATTAAAAAAATCGTTTAAAAAATACTTTAGGACCCTGTCACCAACTCATTAATGGAGACAAATGAAGAACTTCCTTTAGGGGAAAATGGCAATGCTTGGCAATGCCTATTTATTTCTGCCACTAAATACATCTATCAATTAAAATATTATTGTAAAAGAACTATGTAAGAAGACGTCCCTACTCACCTGGAGAGAACTGCCCCAAGAGGAAATGTGAAGAGAAGCAATGACCCTGATTGCAACATAACAAGGAGGGTTACCTGGTGTGGGCTGCAGTAAAATGAACCTTAAAAGGCTCAAAATGACATAGGCATGGATGTCATGCTTAAATAATACAATGACATATTTGAATGTGCTAAAAATGATAAAAAGAAATGGATGTAAAATAAACGGCCTCCTGAAAAAAATATAGATAGTTCTTCCCTTCTCTTCCTTTTCCTTCCTCCCTCTCTATCTGCCTTTTCTATTATTTTCACAAAAAAGACAACAACCTATTTGGCACTATGCAAGTCATCCAAACCCTTCATTCCTGCCCACAAGATGAGACAGGGCATCAACATGACATAGGAGAGCTGCCCCTGGCCAATCTGCCCTCTGTCAGCGGAGTGCTTATGGCTGCCTGGGCACTGTGTGGTCCTCACCTCGGGGCCTTTGCTCACAAGGGTTCCTCTCTCTGCTCCCCACTCCCCGAAGCCTCCCTTCCCTGACAGCATGGGTATAACGTGGCCAGCTTGCATTGTTCTTCCACCCTTGGCTTAGGGATGACCTCATCCAGGAAGGTTTTCTGGTCTCTCCTTGTAGGTTGACGTAGGCACCTGTCCTGTGTGCTCCAACCTCCCTGAGGGCAGTTAGCACGCCTTGCTTTGTGTCCACATCTGCTCTCAGGGTCAGCCTTGAAGACACAGACCTCGTCCAAGTGGTCTGCATACCCATCAGTGGGTTCAGGGCCTGGTGCAACGTAGACACTTGACATGAGTTTATTAATTGACCCAGGTCATTTTTGAAGGATTTACTGTGTTTCTGTCTTTGGGAGATGATGATCTTGAAAAAATTTGTTGTAGAACCCATAGTTGTTCTTAATATTTTATGTTGTTGAGAGAGAGCTGTTCCAACCACGTGGCATTTCTGTTTACCAAAATACAGTCAGCAGAAAGCCAAGAAGGAATAAAAAGGGAAGACGAAGCACTCTACAGTTGGCCATTTTGACAGAATTGACGGGGTAACGGTTTGAGTCTTTAAAACAATCTCCACGTCCCTTGTGTCCTTTTTAGAAAAATGAGTTGATCAAGGATTCAAATGAATGGACTGACTAAATGTTTCAATGTATGTAGATGCAATCTGTGTGACCTCTAGAAAAAGGCTGAAATAACTGCTTGAAGCTTGCAACAACAGTAGACAAACTTTCTAGCTTAAGAGGAACCTTAATCACTTACCAAGTCAGGGTCTTGAATATTACTCCTTTGATTAAGAACAGTTTACATTTTCATGACAGAAATAAAAAAATATCTCTGTAAGCATTGGGAATATTCCAAAACTGCAGCTGAGTGCTCTGTAGTGGTGCCCTGGCTGACGGGAACAAGGCCCTGAGTAAGTGCGGGGTCCAAACTCAGAGGGAAAAACACAGGTCAATGGTCCCGGACTCATGTCTCTGGTGCCTATGAAAAACCTGAGGTAATCGGCCAAAATTCCAAGTACCAAGTGTGTGCTTTCTCCTCACCAGCTTAAAAAATCAAAATTGCTGGATTCATCCTCATCTTATGGTTCAAAAAATGGGAATAGAAATGCTTGTTTTCCTATGTGAGAGAGAACAAAGAATTCCTGAAATTTGTTAAGGTGCTGTCTCTTACTGAGAGTGTAACAAAACAACCTATTATTGATCATTCTGTCAACTGTATATGAACTGAACAGGTGATATAAAATGGAGAAAGAATGTGGAAGCCATTGGTCAAAGAGTGGCAGATCATGGGGACATATGGCCATTAAGATTTGAAGCTTAAGTTTAGGTAAAAGCAAGAGTTCTAGAGAGTTTCCTCAAATCTGCTAACATCACTGAGAAGATATTGCTGATGCATCTATGATGAATGGACAAATAAAATGTGGTAAATACATACAATGGAATATTACTCCATCATCAAAAGTAATGAAGTACTGACACATGCCACAATCTGGACGAACCTTGAAAACATTATATTAAGTGAAATGAGCCGTACACAAACGGACAAATATTGTATGATTCCATTTACATGAAGTATCTAGAACAGGCAAATTTATAAAGGCAAAAAGTAGAATAGAGGTTACCAGGGGCTGGGAGGAGGGAAATGGGGAGTTATTGCTTAATGGGTACGGAGTTTCTGTTTGGGATGATGAAAAGGTCCTGGAAGTAGATAGTGGTGATGGCTGTTCAACATTTTGAATGTACTTAATGCCACTGAATTGTACATGTAAAAACAAAGAGCAATATTTATGTTATGTATATGCTACCACAATAAAAAAAGTAACAGAAGAAAAAGATATTACTGTTGAACTAGTGACATGCCAGGGGACAGAATGTAAGGATTCTTTCTCAAAAATTCTTCAACATGTTGGAATACCATAAAGATAAGGGAACTAGAAAACAATTAATTCCAAAGCAAAAATCAAGCTTCAGTAAAAGAGTGGATTGTTTAATTCAATATGTTATTGATACACATAATTTTGTCCTTCATAAAATCTTCCCCACATCTATATGAAAAGGAAATCAAGAAAAAATGCTTTCCCCAACAGAACCCATTTCACCTCCTGTTTAAAACCAACATGAAGGCTGCCTCCAGGGATGGGTTATAAATTTGAGAAAACCTATTAGTTCCGCTGATTGGATCTACTTACATCTAGACCCAGAGTGTCATGAATAGTTAATTACTTTTGAAATAAAGTGAAAAATATTTTTCATGTCTCAGAGAGGACAAACAATTTACTTACGGGAAGAAACAAGTAAGAACATGATTGTTTCCCATGCAATGTCTTTCGTGAGGACAGCTGAGGCCACACTGACTACCCCTCCCATCTTGATTCTTTACTTGATTCCACTTTATTTATCTGCCTCCCATTCCCTCATCCGTCGCACAGTGGCCTGCGGCAATTGCTACTGAGCTAGTGGATTTGGAACACTTCGGTCTCTTGGACTCAGCTAAGGCTGTGGGGCTTCACGACTCTTCCCTGGACAGCACTGGGAAACCCACCGAGAAACCTTTTAGTCCATTTCAGCATGTGAACAAAGTACACGATGTGCTAAACACAGTGACAGCCTGATCTGTGGCTTTCTCACTTAAAGCTCCATCTATTTTAACCCTGAGAAAAGGAATTAGAAGATCAAGCACAAATTCCTATCCTGTTTAGACCAAAAATATGTGAAGGATAGGGTAAAATCACTTGACAGAAAATAGGCAATCAACAAACCCAATAAGCTAAAATCTTACAATCATACAATCAACAAACAAGAGCTCTTATCACTTATAAAAATAGTATGGCTTCTACGAAGACATTACTGAAGAAGTGTGCATTATGGTACTGGTAACGAAAATTAACTTTGTCCTCCCTTGTCAACTGTAATTATAATATTATTCTATGTAATTCTATGTAAGTGACACTTCTCTAGAATTACAATGAAAGAAACTATAGATACAAATGCAGAAAACATATATTATGAATATAAACTGAAGCTAAATTCACAGAGCTGAGCATTTTTGACTAGAGGAAGTAATTTTGGACTTGATTTTTAGATGAATTGCAGTCTGGTGGTGGAAACTACTTTCTTACAATTTGTACGAAGAGATGCTCAAGAGAGATGCCGAGTACAGACTTTTTCCTTAAGATCAGAGAAGACATTTAAATTAAAAAAAAAAAAATCACCTTTGAAACAAACAAAGGTTTGTTTCAACTGTCTCTTCCCATAGATTTCTAACTCAGTTTTGCTGTAATCTAAGGCTAATAATAATACAAAACACTTGGAGAAGTCTTACTTTGGGCTGACTTCTCACATGTCAATAAATGGGTCTCTGTACATTTACATTTAAATGTCCAATAAAGTATTTAGTGCCAATAGACAGAAAAATAGAAATAGTTGTGGGTGAGAATTACAACTAAAAATTATTAAATAGTTAAAAAAGATCTCACTAGGCAGTCCACTTACTTTATGGCCTCACACATATCCAGGCCCATTTTCACACAGTTCTTGGCATGGTTAGGGAGAGAGATAGGCAGCCCGGACACACAGTAGTAGCAGTCTCCTAAAATCTTTATTCTCATGCATTCATTCTCCTGGAAAAAGAAATCACAGAGCTTCAGTTGCATTAGCACTTACATAACGATTTAGATTTACTGAATATCATCAAGTGCTCATTCTACCGACACTGTCACAGTGAATACGGTTTGTGGGGAGAGAGACATGAGAACTAGTTGGGTTTCCCGTCATTACCCAACAAGAATGAGCCACCCTCCCCCACATGCACATTTGCCAGGAAGAACAAAGGAAAGGAGAAGATAGGGAAAGCAGAGGGAATGTTCAGGAATGATTTACACTTAACACTAGCAGAGGAGCGTAAGGAAGGATCATTTTCTTTAGTTCAAATATCCTAAATATGGTTGGTGAAATGAAACATTCCGTGCAGAGCAGAACCTTTCAGGGCAGAAAATGATGTCAAAACTCAACTGGAATTAGAATCTTATGTCATCCTCTACTAAGCGCATTTCATTTTTCTTCATTTATTTCAAAGCTGAAGCAGATTGCTACCTGCAGACATGTAGCTTCTGATAAACATCTCCACAATACAATAAGCCACCATTCAACATTGCCAAGTAATTTAAAACTTAATTCTGATCTTAGGTTAAACCGTTTTAGTAGAAAGTTAGAGTGACTCATTAATTCATTAATTTTCTTGGCTGGATTGTATTTATATTATAATATTAAGATTAACTTCAGTCATATGCATCAATCCTACATCCATTTCTAACCTTCTCAACTAGCTTATAGACCCTGACTAAAATAAAAAAAACAAAAAGAAAAGCAAAGATGTACCAAACACAAATTTTTTTTCTTCTTAACACTAACACAGGCCTATGTATAAATTGAACAAATTTGAAATAATAAAATGAACATAAGATCTTTTGTTCTTAAGCATGTGCAAGGTTTAGTGAAGACTTTGCATATTTCTTTCTCTACCTGGTAGAGAGCTTGCATACTGTTATGCTTATCTATGGCACTGTAGATGATGTGCTAGTAATTCCCGATAACAATATCATAAGTAATGAAAAGGAAAAAAAAAACTTACTAATAATGTTTCCCTTTCATACTTCAAAAATAGATATTCTGAGTCTAGAAAACAGTAAGATTAATAATAGTGAATTCTTGGCACTCTTATCAAAGATCAGTTGACCGTATATGCATGCATGGTTTATTTCTAGGCTCTCTATTCTGTTCCATTGGTCTATATGTCTGTTTTTACCCCAGTATCATACTATTTTGATTTCTGTAGCTTTGTAACATATTTTGAAATCAGGAAGTCTGATGTCTCCAGCTTTGTTCTTCTTGCTCAAAATTGCTTTGGCTATTTGGGATCTTTTGTGGTTCCATATGAATTTTAGGATTGTTTTTTCTATTTCTGTAAAAAATATCGTTGAGATTTTGATAGGAATTACATTGACTCTGTAGATGGCTTTGGGTACTATGGACATTTTAACAATATTAATTCTTCCAACCCATGACATAGAATCTGTTTCTACTTATTTGTGTCTTTTGAGATTTCTTTCATCACTGTCTTATAGTTTTCAGTGTACAAGTCATTCACCTACTTGGTGAAATTTATTCCTAAGTATTTTATTCTTTTTGATGCTAATGTAAATGGAATTGTTTTCTTGATTTCCTTTTGAGATATTTCATTGTTACTGTATAAAGAAACACAACTTATTTTTGTAGGTTTACTTTGTATCTTGCAACTTTACTGAATTTGTTTATTAGTTCTAACATATTTTTGTGGACTCTTTAGGGTTTTCTACATATAAGGTCATGTCATATGCAATCAGAGATAATTTTGCTTCTTCCTGTCTTCTTTGGATGCCTTTTATTTCTTTTTCTTGCCTAATTACTCTGTCTACGACTTCCAGTACTATGTTGAACAGAAGTAATGAGAGTAGGCATCCTTGTCTTCTTCCCAATCTTAGAGGAAAAGCTTTTAGTTTTTCACTATTGAGTGTGATATCGGCTGTGGGTTTTTCATATATGGCTTTATTGTGTTGAAGTAAGTTCCCTTTATACCTTATTAGTTGAGAGTTTTTATCATGAAAGGATGTTTAATTTTGTCAAATGCTTTTTCTGCCTCTATTGAGATGATCATATGATTTTTATCCTTCATTCTGTTAATGTGGTGTATCACATCGATTGATTTACATATGTTGAACTATCCTTGCATCCCAGGGATAAATCCCACTTGGCCATGGTGTATGATCCTTTTAATGTGCTGTTGAATTTAGTTTGCTAAGTGAAATAAGCCAGAAGAACAAATACTAGACGATATCACTTATATGAAGAATCTAAAACAATCAAACATAGAAGCAGAGAGTAGAATGGTGGTTGCCAGGCCTGGGGGAGGGGAAATGGGGAGGTATTGATCAAAGGGTGCAAGTTTCAGTTATGCCTGATGAATAAGTTCTAGAGGTCTATTGTACAGCATAGCGTCTGTAGTTAACAATAATTAATCACATACTTAAAAATTTGCTAGGAAGGTAAATCTTATGTTAAGTGTTTTAATCAAAAAATAATAATAATAATAATGATAAAAAAAGAGGGCAAGAGGAAACTTTTAAAGGTGACGGATATGTTTATGGCATAGATTATGGTGATGGTTTCAAAGGTGTATAGTTATCTCCAAGCTCATTAAGTTGTATATATTAAATATGTACAGCTTTTTGTATGTCAGTTATACCTTGATAAAGTGGTTAAAAATTTTTAAAAAGTAACAGTGAATGAGCAAGGATTTCGAGATCCTTAGCTTAAAGTTATGTGCTTTATGTAGTATTCACTCAAAGGACTGAACTATCTGTTTACTTACGATGCTCTCCAACTCCCTGTTATTTAACTATGAGTCATGAACCGGTGCCCAAAGCATGCTGCCCCTGTGACCAACAACAGATGGACCAAGCCATCCTAGGCTGGACTCTGATATTGCCTGGACATTCCTTTGTTATGATGATCAGAGAGGAACAGGAAGTCACACTGAGTACCTCTGTGATGGGTCATGAATTGTGTCCTCCCCAAATGTGTATGTTGAAGCCCTAACCCCTGGTACCTGTGAACGTGACCTTATTTGGCAATAGGGTCATTGCAGATATAATTAGTTAAGTGAGGTCATGCAGGAGTAGGTTGGGCCCCTATTTCAATATGACTGATGGCCTTACAAAAGGATAAATTTGGACACTGACATTTGCACATTGGGAGAATGCCACCTGAACACTAGAGCTATGTTATCACCTGCCAAGATTGGGATATTTCTTCCTAACATGACCAAGTCATCCAACAAAAATGACCTTTTATTAATTCAAAGACATTATTTAAGTTTCAACCAATTTTTTTCCTAAAAATGAGCACCCAAAAAACTCAACCTCTTCTTTTGGTTTGGTACTAGAAGGAAGCAGAGCTATACTCTTACTAATCTTTTAAAATCCCCAGTGAGATCTGTCATGGTCAGTTGTGTAGTATAAGGCACCTCATGGGGAGCGTGACCCAAGAGTGCCTCGGGCAACATCTGCAAGCCAGATTTATTCCTAAGAGGCTTGGCTGGAATGTTCTGTATTGTTTACAAGTGAGATGAATCTTGCAGTGAACTATATTTGGGACCAACTCTTCCATATATAAGTAACACATTTTAATAAGCATCATGAAGTATTTTTTGTTGGGAATGATACAAAGAAATAATCAGGCTGACTGGAAATGTTTCATGAGAAGTAAAGTGTTCGCAAAGAAGAAGAAAATATTTAATCAGTATTCCCACCAGAAACTCGAATAGTTCCAATAAGGAAGTAAGGTCTAGTATGGTTTTGGATCACATGCCATTTTCCTCTCTGTGAAACTTGCCATAAGTGAGCACATGTATGACAAATATTGAACTTACATTTCTGTTCAAGTGGCACAAGGGTCAATGGATAAAGACGAGACAGCAGTAAATGAAGGGCTTAGGGAGAAAGTATGCATCCTACTGTAGGGGTTCTTCCAGGATGCTGCTTAACAATATGAATATTTGACAATTACCACTGGAAGACAGGAAAACATGTTTCTAACTCCTTGACATTGAAATGCCTAAAAAGAGGATCTTAGAACAGCACAGCGCAGAGAGATGTGCAAATTAAATCTCACCACCTTGAATGTATTTATAATACATGTGCTGAATTACATATACGCATAAGTTTTAAAAATAGATGAAAATGTGATAATTATATGCTATGGCAGTTCTCATTTCTGATATAGGTTTGAGACTTATCAAGGCTCAATGGCAAATAAATCCAACAAATATACAAATAACATTCCTAAAGGATGATTTTATGAAAACTAAGAAGTTGATAGGAGACCAGGGAAAAGATCAGCTAGGATTTTATAAATTTTCAAATAGAAGTGAATCACTAATACTTACCTTTGCAATTTGATCGAACTTTCCAAAGAGTTCATTCAGCATGTGGACCAGTTCTCCTGGGGAGCAGTCACTGGCCAGCCGGGTGAACCCCACAATGTCAGCGTATAGGATGCTATGGGAGCAAAGGGAGGCAGAATGTGCAAGTTTACATTTATTAAGAAAGGAATATAAGTTGTTCCCATTAAAAGAGTATGTATATTTTTACATTTTATATTTACATTTTCACAAGAAAAATGTCATTTCCCTGGATAGGGAATACTTAAACATTTTGCTAAACTTTCCCATTCAAATTTTTTTTGACGTAAATTTTTCTAATTAAAATGTGAGAAGAAAAAGTCATGTGATGCACTTTGTCCATTCTAGTCCATTCTTACTGATGACTTTTCTTCCCTCATAGTCAGCCTCTCCCTCCCCCTCTGGTGTACGTTGTATTCATCCTGACAGTTCATTACACTGTCATAATTCTGATATCAAATGAGTATATTTCTATTTGAATTGTTATATGAATTTATATTACAAGAATTCCTAAACAAGAAGAAGGGAAACAATAAAAGCCAAATTCTGTTCTTATTGATTCAAAGAAAAAATAATATTCTTAAAAGAAAGACTACTTAACAAAAGATTCTGGATTACTTACTGCCTGCCAGGATGAAGCAGACACGGTACATCTTCCTAAAGCTCAGAGTTTAGTTGGGGTGATGCATTAAACAAAAAAAGACACCAGCAACTGTCCAATTACAGTGCTAATAAGTATATACAGGAAAACAGTGGAGTGTTATACCAGAGAACAGTGTAGGGTGGGGAGAGAAGGTGTGGAGTCCCTTAAGGTCATTTGAAGGAGATGACGGTGTAGCTTCCTGCCTTCATGAGATGTACATGCTAGTGGGACAAATGTGAGATTCCTTAGAATTCTGTCCATTTAGAGTAAACCTTGAGGGGTCAAGAGAGGGAAACCCAGTACCAGTGTGTGCACTACAACTTTTTTCTTTTTTATGAGGAAGATCGGCCCTGAGCTAACATCTGCCAATCCTCCTCTTTTTGCTGAGGAAGACTGGCCCTGGGCTAACATCATGCCCATCTTCCTCCACTTTACATGGGACGCCGCCACAGCATGGCTTGACAAGCTGTGCGTCGGTGCAGACCCGGGATCCGAACCAGCGAACCCCGGGCTGCCGCAGGGAAGTGCACGCACCCAACCGCTTGTGCCACCGGGCCAGCCCCATTACAACTTTTCTTACACAATAAAATGTTTAGGATTTGTGTAAAGGCCTAATAAAGAAGCCTAAACTTCCTGCTGGAGGTTTGACATTGAGATGATATGGTATGGTTTAAGATGTACCATGAAACAAAAATTACTACCACTTCACACCCATTAGGATGGCCACGATCAAAAAAACAAAAAATAACAAGTGTTGTTGGAGGTGTGGAGAAATTGGAACCCATACGCATTGCTGGTGGGAATGTAAAATGGTGCAGCCGCTATGGCAAACAGCATGGTGGTTCCTCAAAAAAGGAAACGTAGAATTACCATAAGATCTAGCAATTCCACTCCTAGATATATACTCAAAGGAATAGAAAGCACTGACTTGAACAGATGTTTGCACACTCATGTTCATAGCAGCCTTATTCACATTACAGTCATGTGCTACATAATGATGGTCAACGATGGAATGCATATATGACAGTGGTCGCATAAGATTAGTACCATATAACCTAGGTGTGTAGTAGTCTATACCATCCAGGCTTGTGTAAGTACACTCTACGATGTTCACACAATGACGAAATTGCCTAACAATGCACTTCTCAGAACATATTCCCGTCATTAAGTGATGCATGACTGTAGTAGAAAAGGTAGAAACAAACCAAATGTCCATTAACAGATAGATGGATAAAGAAACTGTGGTATATACATACGATGGAATATTATTTAGTTTTTAAAAGAAATGAAATTCTGACACATGCTACAATATGGTTGAACCATGAAGACATTATGCTAAGTGAAATAAGCCAGACACAAAGGCAGAAATACTTGATGATTCCACTCATATGAGATCCCTAGAGTGGTCAAACCACAGAGACAGAAAGCAGAATGGTGGTTGCCAGAGGTTGGGGAGAGCAAGAGGGGGTGTTGTTATTTAATATGTATGGAGCTTTAGTTTGGGATGAAGGAAAAGTTCTGGAGATGGATGGTGGTGATGGCTGCAGAACAATATGAATGTATTTAATGCCACTGTACTGTACGATTTAAAATGGTTAAAATTTTAAATATTATGTTGTGTATATTTTGCCACAATAGAAAAAATAAATAATGTGGCACCCATCAACCTGGTTGCAGCCAGATCACGGCTGGATCTCTGCTGTTGGCCACATTCCACTCCTGCGCCAAGCACAGGGCTTGTGGCTTTACCCTGGAGGAAAGACTTCCTCCTCTGCCGATGGACAGGAGCCAGGGGCTCCTGGCTGGTCCAGGAAAATCAGAGCTGCTGGGCTCCTGCACTTTCCATTCTGTTCAGATGATGCTGTAAAACCATCCCTACTTCTCCCCTGCTCCCTTGTAGAGACAGGGATCACAGATGCCGAGCCATGGTCCAAGAGGAAGAATTAACTCCGGTTGCCCAGAGAGAGATGCCTGATCCTGAGTAGTATTGGGAGGGAGAACATGTGGATGGGTAGTGGACTCCACTTCTTGTTTACAACCTCCACAACGCCTCCTGTAGTCAAAACTTATAGTGGGTGAGGGAGCCCAAAGGTAGGCTAGTTGTAGGTGTTTTAAGCTGGTCCAGAAGTTACTTGAGAGCAGGGAGATTCAAAATGTATACAAGTAACTATGAGGCAAAGTGCAAAGGGTTATGGTAGAGGAAGCATAGTGCTCTGTGGGATCACATAGGAACCCAACCTAGACTCTGCTGAGATCAGATCACCACTTCACCACTTTAGAAAAATCATTCTGGTTGCAGAAACTTGGAGGCAGACAGGTCAGTTAGAATCAGATACCATTAATCCAGAAGAGCCCTGTGGAAGGTCTAGTACTGGGGAAATTAGACAGAACTGGACAGATATGGGAGATACATAGGAAGCAGAATGAACCAGGCTTTGTTAGTAATTAGATGTTGTGTGTGGGGGAGTGTCTAGGAGAGGGAAGCATTGAGGATGAAGACACAGTTTCTGGCTGAGCAAGGGGGTTCAAGCCTAGGTTTGTACAAGTCAAATCAAGCTTGTAGGGGAAGTTGACTAGCTCAACTTAGGTTGTGTTGATTTTGATAGTGGTATCTGTAGAACACCCAAGAGAAAGACACCCATTAAGTAGATGAGTATGGAAAATGATGGTTGAGTTCCATGTCTTAGCACCATGTAGATGGTATTTAAAGTCCTGAGTGAGAGCTGGAGAGAGCAGAGAGGAGCTAGGAGAGAACACTGAAAATGCTCTCATTTATAGGAGAGGCTAGATTTGGGGAAGAGAAAACAAAGGAGACTGTAGGAAGAAAATAAAGGGGATACATGTTATGGAGACCAAAGGATGGGAGGATTCTTTAAGTGCAATGGCAAAGTCAATGGGGCCAAGCATACTAGAGTGGTCAATGACATAAGGATACAGAAGTCAGTCATAATCAGATTTGGGAACAAAATAGTTGGTGGTGAATTTAGCAAGAATGAGTTCTGTGACACGGTGCAGGTTAAAGCCTGAGAGCAGCAATTTGAGGAGCAAGAGGAAATAAGGAAGATTAGTTAAAGAGTGTGGAAAAATCCTTCTAGAATCTCGGCTATGAAATTCATAGAAGAAAGAGATAGTTTCAGAGTTGGATGGTGGCATTAGATTAAGGGACATGTGTTTGTTTCTAAACATGTGGTGGGTTTGTGAATGTTTAAGCACTAGCAGGAAGGATTCAGAGGAAGACGATGAAGATTCAAGAAGTAACCGGTAGTTGTTACCTTTATGTCTATAAATTCCTCTTCTCAACCCCCTCCTCCTCCTCATTACTTTTATTATTATCATTAAATGGTAAATAGCCAGGAAATGTAATTAACAGAGAATAAACATTTTGTTGAATGAATAGTCAAAGCAGAACCAAAAGTTAGCAACTGATCTTTTTGGTACTGACTACAAACCTAGTAATTCCCATTAAAAAAAAAAAAAAAACAAAAAAAAAAAACCTCAGGTATTGACTGAACCATCTCCATCACTTGCACTGTGTCTGCTTCTTTGCTCACACTTGTCCTGTTTCAGGATGAAAAGGCCATATGTTTTCATATTTCGTTTAAAAATAATTGGTATTCCATGCCATTTAAGCTTTTACATTTTTAAGTATATAGGTTACTTTAGGATCCCAAATATATTTTACGAAGTTAAATTTAATTCAATACTGCAAACATATTCTAGACAATCTTTGAAGACAGCTGAAGCTGCTTCACCAACCCACTGCCTTAGACGGTGTGGTAGTCAGTTTCCAAGATGGCCCCAGTGTTCCTCACCTCGTGGTAATCACACTCTTGTATTGTCCCCTCCCATAATGGATAGGGCTGACCTGGGTATGGGTAACCAACAGGACATTGGTGATGAGGAACTGAGGCCTCCAGCCAACGGCCAGGTTAACCTGCCAACTACGTGAGGAGCCACCTGGGAAGCAGAGCCTCCAGCGGCCCCGGCTGACATTGGCCTGCAGCCTCATGAGAGAATCTAAGCCAGAACCGCCTGGCTAAGCTGCTTCCAAATTGGAACGCACAGAAACTGTGAGGTGATATGTACTGCTGTTTTAAGCTACTACATGTTGAGGTCATCTGTTACACAGAAACTGATAACTAGTACAGACAGCATGCAGACCCTTCATCAATGCCTGAGGTTGTGGTGTCTTCAGTTATTTTTATAGATCTATTTGTTCCTGGATTATATTATTGCTACTTAAAGATATTCTGTGATCCTGTTTAGATACAGAAGCATTTACTTTACATGCTTTGAATACTTGATAAGTGACTTAAAAATACTGTATTTCCTGAGATAAGAGGGGCATTGCTGATTCTCAGTTAAGGCTGGAAAGAGCAATTTTTAGTATAACACACCTTGTCAGATACTGTGAATGTGTTTTCTTTAATTATGTAGGCAAAACACTTAAAAACCTGAAGGCAGGCCAGTGTTTTAAATAATTTTACTCCTTAACATGTGTGAATGTTCTTTAAATATACATAGATTTTTTTCCTATTATTCCAAAATATGGTGGGAATGATTTTTTCAAAATTTTACTCCTGATTCTTCATTTATTCAATAGCACTTCCTTAGTTCCTACTGGATATGCAACTGTTTTTTCTGTTAGCTCCTTCCCAGTATGCATTTCTTATTGTATATTTAGCTCTGTGCATGCCTGGGTTGTGTCTATCACTAGCTCTATATGCCTCTTCTAAAATCTGGTGTCAAAATGAGATTTGTCTTAGCAATGTATTTAAGTTGCAGTTAAATTTGTTTTTATTAACGAATTTCAAAAATCCTTGACCTGAAGCAACCAGGCTGGAAGGCACCATCATGCAGTGGAACAAGTCTGGACTTGGGGACAAATAGGCCGATTGCAATCCCAGTCAATGCTCAACAAACTTCAGTCGTGTCTGTGGTTGTTCCTGAACTAATGAACGGGGGTGGGTACCTCTGACAACTAAAGTAATAACATCAAAACTAATGAATGAGGCCAGATGCACGCACGAGTTACTTACTGAGAAAACCCACCTAGAACAGAAAGCACCACTGCAATATAGCTGAATGGATGAAAGGACAAACTCCCAGTGAAGTGGCCAGGAATGGGTGGGCACGGAGAACGGTGAGGGATGAGAACACCCTCACTCTGCTGCAGCTGGGAGACAGGGAGCGTGGAGGGAGTGCCCACTCCAGACTGAGGGAGGGCCCACACAGCTCCTCTCTAGAGCTCAGCTCCTCTTTAGAAGAGGCCCCACAATGTTCTCCTTCCTGACCACAATCCCAAGCTGATAACACGTTAGTTTTCCAGGAACCATGATTTCAGAAAAGGCCTCCTGGGCAGCAGATATGACTATCTTGGTTCAGAAAAGCAATAACTTGCACTATAAATGAATTAAGTCCCCTATGACCTTGGTCACTGGTTGACCATACCCCAGAAACCCATCATTCCTGATGGACAGCAGAACATCCTGCTGCCCTGGAAAGTGTTGGCTGCCCTGAGGCCCTGCCCCTGCAAAGGGGAGTTGGTCCTTGTGCCGAGAGCCTATGGACCCTTCCTCCAAGCTTAGTGCAAAGCTGACCCTTGGGTCCCAGGGACAACGTGAGATCTGACCGTGAAGTTCCCAGAATAAGGACTCCACTGTCCACCTCTTGCCCTTCCGTGACTGCTGGTCAGCCATGAAAAGCAAGGGAATGAGGGACAACTCCACAGAGTAAAGAGGATCCTATTTTCCCATCTTAAGGAGAAGGCCTCAAGTGGCGGTAGAAGGGTGGGTGGAGTGGTGATTACTCTGCATTCACAGTTACAAAGGACACATGACGTTGTAAGATGAGGGCTCACGGTTACAAGCGTTCCCAATCCGGCCAACGGGCTCCCTGGGCTGGCCGAGGATCAAGAACAGGGCAGGTACCTGACGTTGGTGTGCCGCTTGACATACAGGTTGTGAAAGTTGTTGGTGTTTTCCATCTGGCCGGCTTTGGGGCCCTGCAGCCTCTGGATGATCTCGGCTTTCATCTCCATGGCTATGTGAGCTGGCAGCAGGGACAGCAGAAGCCGCTCCTGAAACCAGGTGTGGAAGAAAGACCAAGAGATTTCACATAACTAAGGTCAGGTCTAAGTAATATTTGAAATCATCACTCATTTGTAGTGGGGTCAATTTGAGGACTCTTTCCAACAAGTTAAAATAAAGATTCTAGAAATACATACTGAAAAAAAAATCAAATTTTGTAAGGTCAGAGTGTGTTACTATATTACCGATTATTTATTAAGTTCTAAGCATGTGTTCTTCAGTGAGGAGGAAAAAGGAAGGCAAAGTTATTTCCCAAAGGATATTATTTATCTATTTTGATTGTAAAGCAGTGAAGCAGGAACCATAGTAAAATGTCAGAAACCAGTGGCCAGTCTAAGATAGAAAACACTCATTTTGGCCTGCTTGTTCATTTGAGAGATAAAGGACAAGCTTTATTGCACTTTAGAAAGTCAACCAATATTCCACATTTCCTAAATAAGAGAGTCAAATATTTTCAAATATTGTGTTTCCTCTACGATGACCATTCAGTCCCCGTTAGTGATTCTAAACTATTATAAAGATGGAGTCAGAAATATGAGGTTCTGTAAAAGGTCATCTGTAAGAAACCACAGTTGGGACAGAAAGAAATGATAAGGTGAGCTTTTCTTGTATTTTTCTTCTCTAAATCCAGTAAATCCAGTAAACAATAGCATTAAATATTATACTTATTTTAATATGTATTTATTTCAGTTAGAGTGGCACTTTTGCGTTCTCTTCAAGGAAAATATGCAATATATTTTTGAGGAAAAGTATCATAGAAGGACAATCTTTGAAAGTTTATATTCATCCTAGAGTATTTTAAATGTTAATCTATTGTAGAAAACACCATATTTTCCAGGTATTGCGGATTTAGCAACTGATATTCAGTGTTGATAAACAAACATTTGTTGAATGAAACATTTTCTCTGTCTTCCACATTTTCTGTTTTTCTTTTCTTAAAAAATTCTTTTTTTCGTGGACAAAGTGGTGAGAGAGCAGGGGCGGAGGGAAAGCTGGGCTTTCCTCCCAGGTTCTCAGGGCCAGGTGTCCATCTCCTGGGCTCAGTTTGGTGGCTGTTGGGAACTTCCACGGAGGGAGCAAAAGGTAGGCCAGAGGAGCATCTGGATAAAGATGGGAAAACCCTCTCCATAGCCTACCCCCAGCCCGCTGCAGGGAAAGACAGGTGCAGTCAATAGGAGATCGAGTGTGTGCCTATGGGGGGACCTCAGTGCATGGTAGGACCTCAGTGCATGGTAGGGAGTCTTTCTCCATGAGCTGGTATAAGTGAGTGTTGATCATTTGTTCATTCATTCATTTGTTTATTCACCCATTCAGAAAACATCCATCATTGCCCATTACATGCCAGGCCCCTTGGAAACCACTATTGGTAAATGCCAAGAAGAATGAGACAACATCCTGATACTGTGTTGTTCATAATCCAGCAGGGAGCCCACCCAAGGTGCACTTGCTGTCGGATGAGGCTAGAAGGACAGGGTGGTGTTTGCAGAAAGCCACATGACTGGGATATGAGAACATAGAAGGGCAACTAACAGTTCAGTAGCACCTGCTATGTGCCACTTGCTCCCAGGAGCCCTATCCATATGAACCAATTGAATCAAAACAGCGCTACCTCATTAGCATTATCACCAACTTCCTTGCAATAGAGGCAAAAGAGGAACTTACAGAGAGGGCGGGGAGCTAACACTTGTCATAAAAGCTGGTACTGACACACCAAAGGGAATTTTATTGGTACATAAGAAAACACTTTTTATTTAATAATTATCTTTTCACTTTTTGTTAAATTCCCTTTGCTGTTTCAATTTAAGAAATAAAATGGAGAAATCAAAAGTTTTTAATAAGTTACATGTCCATATATATATGGGGAAACATAAAATAATATTTATTGTACAAAATAATGAGGATAATGTCTTCTGTGGTCTAAAATATAACAGAAATGAAACGCACAGTGACATTAACACAAAAGATGAAATGGCAGTAAATGGAGTTAAAAATGTTCTGAGGTCCTAGGTTCTGTGGGAAGTGGCAAAACATAGCAATTTATCTTAGAATGCAATGAATCAAGAAAGGATGCAATTTCCACATTAGCAACAAAAAGAGTGAAAGAACATATGACTAACAGTGAAAATGGGAAAGAAATCTTCAATTAATCCAAAATAAGGAAATAAAGAGTGAAAAAAACTTAAATCAGGTGGGACAAATAGAAAACAAATCATAACACGGCAGTTGTTAGCCCAAGGTATCAGAAACGACACTAAATGTAAATGAACTAAATACTCCAATTAATTGACTAATATTATCAGGTTGGATTTTAAAAAAAGATAAAACATAACTCTATACTACTCACAATAAACACTTCTCAATACAAGATTACAGAAATATGGGAAATAAGAAAATATACCAAAAAAAGAGATAAATTGTGAAAACCTTGATGAGAAGAAAGCTCGTAGAGCTATATCAATATCAGAAAAATATACTGTAGATATTTTAGTCTTCGAGGAAAGAATGGACAAGTCCACATATTTTTTAAAATTGTTTGGGAGGGGGAAAATATCACAAGGTTTTATTGTGGAGACTGGTGATATGTCCTGTAATGTGGTTCCTTCCACTCACAGAGACTGGTGGTGTGAAGGGCAGTGAAGGCAGGCTTGTTCATTGCTTTATTTATCAGTTCCTGAGGAGCATCTAGAAAGTAGCATTTGCTCTGTAGTTATTTGGTGAATGAATGAATGAATGACCTGCTGAGCATCTTACCCAGGGCACATTAAAGAAAAATCGAATTTAAAGCTTCTGTTCATTGTTGGTCCTGCTTACAGTGGAGACCTGGGCAGACAAAGCTTATGTTTTAAAATCGTATTAATGACCCTCTTGGTCATAAACACAAGGCCTGGGAAAATCTGGATCAGCGATGTTCACACAAAGAGAAAATCAACTATTCTGCAAAATAAGGTAGTGATTGCTTTGGGTTTTTCTGTCTGGTAGACAATCACCAGATGGGGCCAGGGAATGAAGGGAACGTGAGAAAGACTCACGCAGGGTGAGGAAAGACCCCAGCTTCCTATCAGCAGGCTGCACCCAAGCAGAAAGACAACATTCAATGTCCCTGTGTTGGGAAATGGCTGATGAACATTGGCAACCACTTGAAGTTACGTTTTGATTTGATTCCTATTCTGAGCTCTAATTCCTGTCTATTATTCTCCAAATTTCATTAATAATCTAACAATACAGCAGCATCATCTTAGCTTAACAGTGAGGAGGCGAGTTCAAATTCTGGACTTAACCAAAATGTTGAAAAAGCAGGAAACTTGTCCGACTGTGTGAGACACCTCAGCGCCCTGCCAGGGGCCAGGATAAGCAACAACAGGAGGACGGACAATATTGAGTTCAATAATGGAATAAGAAATCAAGTAATATATATTTTTTGTGTGTGTGTGAGGAAGATCAGCCCTGAGCTAACATCCATGCTAATCCTCCTCTTTTTGGTGAGGAAGACTGGCTCTGAGCTAACATCTATTGCCAATCCTCCTCCTTTTTTTTTTCCCCCAAAGCCCCAGTAGATAGTTGTATGTCATAGCTGCACATCCTTCTAGTTGCCGTATGTGGGACGTGGACTCAGCATGGCCGGAGAAGCGGTGCGCCGGTGCACGACCGGGATCCGAACCCGGGCCGCCAGTAGCGGAGCACACGCACTTAACCGCTAAGCCACGGGGCCGGCCCCTCAAGTAATATTTTTATCTATTAAAGAAACATGTGGCCTCAGAAAAATGGAGCCACCTGGAACTTGGGTACCAAGAAACAACTAATGACATGAACATAGATGTTCATATTTTAAAACTTAAAAAAATATCTGTCCTTATTATACACAAATTGACAGTTTGATAATTTTGGTTGATGGCCTGGTATCTATATAAGCCTGTTCTCTCTCTAATCTCAGAAGTCACCTGAAAAGACAATGGGATTTATGTTTTAAATATAAATGGCACTTTACTACCTCTTGCAATCTTGATATAAAGAGCTACTCCATCATCTACTCATCTTTTGCTGTCCATCCCCCAAATACAGACTTTTGCCACTTGTCTTCAAATCTTCCATGTTTTGGCCTCTGTGACCAACCAGATGGTTAGACATTTGTGAAGTCTGAAAGTCACAAAACAGACACTATGTCCAAGGAAGTACTTAGCAGATAGACTTTGTCCCTTAAAGTTCAGGCTAATGCTAAGGCTGCATTCACTTAATTCTATTTCTGTAGGTACTGAATGCACCATATGTACTGAGTAACACTGTATGGAATGGTCACTGTCTCTTCTTTCTGTTTATCGATCAATGTATTGGATGATTGAGTGTGAGGTCAAAATATTATAAAGGAGTCATAATGGTCAAAATCTATTTAAACAAATAGAGGAAATCTAGTAAAGAAAGTGTGAAATTGTCATCAACAAAAATCAGGAGACCTGTCTGGTCACACTCTCAGACGGGAGCAGAGCAGCCCCAGACAGGAGCAAAGGGAGGCATGTTGCTCCAAGATGCCATTGAATCTCAGTCACAATCAAAGCAAACAGACATTGAATATAAATTTGTTGACTTCTGAAACAGTGTTACGGTATGTTAGCATGTAGAATAAAACAGATTACGAATCTAGGCTACCTATTTAGAAACCCAGTGGAATCTGTGTGTCTACAGAGATGTGTGATGACTGGATTAATCAGATTAACACCAATTTTGTACTTTTTTTCATGGGATGAGTCAAGGGCTAAGAAGAAATAAAATGTACCAGGTCACAACGCTCGGTTTATGTACTTCTGCATTATTATTTTATGATGATAACCTGTGTATGTGTGTGGATTTAGTGCAGTCTTTTGCTGAATTTAAAAGCAGCAGTAGACTTTTCTGATGTTTACATTAGTTTCTAGTCATGCTTCTTGTTGCCGGTGCTGTCAGCATCTTACCCATATTCCCTCTGCTACCTGGGAGGCAGCTTGTTCCTTTCTAACTC